AGCCAGTAAATTCCCCAATATTGCGACGGTCATTTGAATCTGGTGGAAGGGGACATGCTCATAAGTCACAATTAAAACTTATTTAAAGGCAGCTAATGTGCAGGGGGCCCCTGGCGCTGGTGACAGGATTGCGGACGAGACCTGTCTGCTCCTCCACTCACAGGGGTCTTCCCTACCGGTCAGTACATGTGACCATTCTTGTGTAAGGCCAGTGACACCTGGTGTCAGGGGACATGTCACTTGCATCTTTGCTCTACTAAGATTAGTAGAGTGGCCTCGGGGTCAGGAGTGCTGGTTAATATGGCTGCAAGAAACAACAGGGGAACTGGTTGTCTCCCCAGCGTGGGTGTGACTGGTCACGGGCCTCACATCATGTCCACACAAGGTGGAATCACTTTGGTTTTCCCACTGACTCCAGCAGTGAAAGCTGGGGGAGGAGTGACCCGGATGCTGAGAGTCCTCAGGAACACAGAGAGGGGTGTCAAGGAAGAGAGATTTGGTGTAGGCCTTGAGGGATGTGCAGCAGACCCCCAGAGAATGGGGAAACAAGGACCTGGAATCAGGGAACTCACAGGGTCCCTCTAGGAGCCATGGAAAGGGCAGGACAGGAGAACGAAGTCGCCCCCAACTGGGGAGCACGCGCTCTCTCATGGGGGAAAAAGCAGCCCAGGGTGCAATGAAGCCATGATGGGGGTGGGACGCAGTAACCTCTCCCAACTTTCTTCCCACCCCACAGGTGCATTACCAGGTCCTTCTACCGGAACGTGGTGGGTGTCCTGCTGGTCTTCGATGTGACCAACAGGAAGTCCTTTGAACACATCCGAGACTGGCACCAGGAGGTGATGGCCACGCAGGGCCCTGACAAAGCCATCTTCCTGCTGGTTGGCCACAAGAGTGACCTGCAGAGCACCCGCTGTGTCTCGGTCCAGGAGGCAGAGGAGCTGGCTGCTTCCCTGGGCATGGCCTTTATGGAGACCTCAGCCCAAAACAAGCACAACGTGGACCTGGCCTTCCACACGCTCGCAGAAGCCATCCAGCAAGCCCTGCAGCGAGGCGACATCAGGCTGGAGGAGCACTGCGGGGGTGTCCGCCTCATCCAAATCCCGAGGTCACCCCCCAGGAAGCAGCAGCCAGGCCCCTGCCAGTGTTGACTCTGGGAGGGGAAGAGTAAAGCAGGGGCAACCCCGAAGAGCGGCGGGACGGGAGGAGCTGTCACCTCTCTGGAGGGCGAAAGGCAGAATGTCCCCACAGCCCTAATACAAACAGTATCCTGACACAGTCACACCTCTTGGTTCTGGGGTATCAGAGCTCAGCCTCTTTCCTTCCCGGGAAGATCTACGAGGCCAGCTGTGCAGTTTCCTGTCCTAGGGTCCATGTCCTTATTGTCAGTGGGACATGAAACCCCAGCTCTTTCGGGACTGTGCTGCTCTCTGCCACCCCGGCTAGAACTGACAGCTGAGAACTGTCAGCAGCACTGTCACCTCTTGGCTGGACGTGGCTGTTTCTGGCTCCATTCCTGGGTATTGATGCTGAGACACTCAGCGTCTGGACGCCATAGCCCAGTCAAGGGGGGTGCAGGGAATTTCAAGGCAAGCCTGACCTGGAGCCTCCTTAGGTCCTTAAACTTGGCATCTGAGATGGGATTAAGGTGTGGCCCCACCCCCACCCCCAAACCTGGACACTGAATCTGTTCCAGGAGGCTGGAACCTTAAGGGCATTTCTTGTGCTGGCACACTGGAACCCTGTGATTAGCCTCAACGTCTGCTTATAGGGCTGAAGAACCCATAGCTTGGCACCCCCAGCCCCCGCCCTTACAGCTACTGGGGGGTGCGGACCTCGGTTAGCAGCACTCCCCAGACCAGCCCACCTCCCAGAGGCAGCTGATCTAGTGGGGGCAGGTGTTCTAAGACCCTGCCCTCATGGAACTCTAGACTAGGCTGAAGGTCAAACCCAGCTTCCACTTCTTCCTCAGGAATTGTGACCCTGAAAACCCCTCCTTCTGGGTTTCTTGGCAAGTTTCTTAGCTTCCTCCCCAAGGTGACTGGGCCTGGGGCAAGTCTCTATGCACTGCCTCTTCCATGCATCTCCTATTTATTTATTTATTTAAAGATTTATTTATTTATGCATACAGAATGGGGTACAGGCCAGAGGTGCAGGGGCAGAAGAGGATTCACCAGAGACAGAGTGGGGAGCAGAACAGACAGATCCACAAAGTACACTGCTGAGGCGAGCAGCCGGTGAGACAGGAGAGGTCTGCTGTGCTGTTTGGGTCAGCTCCCTGGCCAGGGAAGGAACTCAAGCACTACCAATAGTTGGATAGCGCTGAAGACTTAACCCTTTGGGCCACCAGGAAGGCCCCAGACCTCTCAAGTGTTATCTGATGTGCCTGTAACACTCAGGTAACTATCACCTCCTCTTTACCATATCACCCTAGCTAACAGGGTTAATTTTGCAGTCAAACCCAGGCTTGACCCTCAGCTCCTCTGTGCATACTTGGGAGCACTGAGCTAAGCCTCAGTAGGACTCATCTATAGAAGGGATCAAGTCTTAGTACTATGAAGCTTTTGGCAGCTACTACAGCACAAGTTCAGCCCCCGGCCAGGGAGCTGACCCACATGGCACGGCAGAACTCTCCTGTCTCACCCGCTGCTCCCCTCAGCAGTGTATTTCAGTGGATCTGTCTGTTCTCTTCCCACTCTATCTCTGGTGAATTTTCTTGCCTCCCTCACACCTCTGGCTTGTACCCCAGCCCTTGTATGCATAAATAAATAAAATCTTTAAAAATATATTTTATTTATTTATGTATACAGAAGGGGCAAGACAGGAAAGGACTGCTGTGCCATGTGGGTCACCTCCCGGGGAGGATCGAACTCGCACTGAAGCAGCCAGGCTTGGCTTAACTGCAGAGCAGCGCTCCAACCTGCTGTGCCACCAGGGAGGGCCCATAAATAAATCTTTATAAAAATAAAAAGAAATAGTGAAGGTCATAGTAGGAATTCACAAAATGGAAGTTCTCTCCTCCCCCAAAGGGTTTGCTTTTAATTACTATAAATCACTGCAACAGAAGACTACCAAAGTAACCTCTTCTGGGAAATAGCAAGGGCTTGAACTCTTAACAAAACTCCAGCCCCCTTCTGGTGATGTGGAGTAGGCTCTGCTTTCTTAAGAAGTTCCAGTACCTTCCAGTTGGATTTATTCCTACTGAGCAAGCAAAGCTGCCTCTCCAAGGTGCACCTGGTCAAACCCAGCTATAGCAGCTGTGACCTGAGCTACTTCCTTAGCCTGAAACATCCTGTCGCCCTACACCTTTGGCTGAAGTCCAGGCCCATGTCCCCCGCCCCCTTTGCTCCGTAGAAGGAACAGAGCCAACGTCTGCTGTGGACCCTGCCCACTGAGGGGCCTTGGAAACCTTGTGGGTGAAGAGCGAGGGTCCAGCCTGCCCTCCGTGCACAAGCTGGGGCAGAAGACTGAGGGCAGAACTCTGCTCTGCGCCCCACCTCTGAGCCTCAGTCCCTGTGGTGATTCCCACCTCACAGGTCTGCTGGAGGATTAAAGGTGAAAGCGAGTGTAAGTCCCCAGCAGACGTTCTTTCTGCTAACAAGGCCCCTTTGTTTTCATGTCTGCTGCCCTTGCCTTGAATATCCATCCTCCATTCTGTCAACACCTGGTTTTTCCTTCAAAGTTTAACCCAAATGCCACCTTACCTAAGATACCAATTCCCTCTCCGAGCCATGGATACAAGCAGCTCACTTTTGGAGATTTCAGACCCTCTTGCCTGAATTCTATCCCCCACAGACTGTAGCTTTTCAAGACCAGGGCTGATTCTTTTGGGGAGGGGGGAGCTGGGCTTTTAGAACTACAGAATTCTCAAACATCCAAGTATAAAGAAGCTGGGGTAAAATATAAAATAAGAGTCCCTTTTACACACACCTCAGCTTCAACAAGTATCACCTGGAACACCCAATCCCATTTTATTTCCCCCTGGTTATATGGGTGCTATTCTTGGGATCCTGGCCTGGCAGGGAACGGGTGCTGTCTGTTGACGGGATTGGGAGGATCTTTCCAGGGCCTCTGGCTGGGATACAGCCTGTGGAAGGCTGGACTGGGAAGGCGGGTTTCACATTGCATCACCCTCACTCCTGCAGGTAAAGGTGTGGGGCTGGGACTGAGGCCAGAAAAGAGGAAGGGGCATCCTAGCCCGTGGGGCTGCTAAGCACCATCTTTTAAGCTACCACCTGGAGACCACTCACAATGCTTCAGAGCCAGGCCCTCAATTTGGGGAAGTCCTGCTCCTGTCTCGAGGAAACCAGCTCTGCAACGTGGTTTCAAATGGCTCTGACGTGTCCTTGAAGAGGTGCACTGCTCTGCTAAGCCCGGGGCTGGGTGTGTCTTGGGAGCCCAGACCCAGAGGCCCCGATCACTTTTGGGCTCTGGCTCTACCCGACTCCTCTTCCTGGCCTTCTGTGCCTTGTGGTCTCCTGTGCCCCATGGACACCCTCTGGCACTACCAGTTCCGCATCATCCTCCTAGGAGACTCGACTGTGGGCAAATCGTCCTTGCTGAGACGCTACACGGAGGGCATCTTCATGGAGGGCATCAACCTGACAGTGGGTGTGGACTTCTCTGTGCACTTCATGGAGGTCGAGCCTGGGGTCCAGGTGAAGCTCCAGTTCTGGGACACAGCAGGCCAGGAAAGGTTCCGGTGAGTGTGGCAATAGCAGGCCGCTGGGCTTGGCTCTGCCCCCTACCTTCTACACGTCCACCCAAGAGGGGAGCTCGTCCACTAGGAAGGCAAGGGGCAGGAGAAAAGGCTTCGGAGGTTTGTTTGGAAGAAAGGACTCGGTCCTGGCTGCCGGGGATTTGGGACAGCCACGTGGCCACTCGGCCTCGGTGCTCTTACCCATAAAGTTAGGGGTTACAAAGGGGACGTCAAGGGCCCTTTTCTTTTCTAACTGCGGGTCACTGTAAGACCTTGGTCCGAGCTCTGGCCACCCCCTCCATGCCTCACTGCATGCTGGCACAGGGGCTCCTCTCCTGGAGGGCATTCTAGTCCTGGATGGCTTTTTCTCAAAAAAAAAAAAAAAGCAAAAAACTATGCTGCTGTTCAGCCACCTGCCTTTACCTGCCTTTAGCCTTTCAAACCTTACTCTTTACCTTTATTCAGCCTGAGGAAGACTTTGTAATATGCAATTATGATCACCTGGATCCTCCATGTAAATTTTCACTGGCTTCCTATTACCTGTGCAGTAGTTTTCAAATTTTTCATGTGTCTGCTTTTAGCACTGATATTATCTTGTCAGATGGGCATCTTAATCGCCTTAAGATGTCCACCAATTAAGAGATGTTGATCAGGCTGAAGAGGGGTGAAGCCAGCATGCTGGGCTCCCACATCACACCCCTTACTCTCTGAAAGACACATAGGTGCACACAAGCACACACACGGCAGCCTTGAGACACGGCACTGGCCACGCCACTAAGCCTGAGGGCTGTGCCCAAGCTCTCTGCTCAGCCCTGGCGGTCTCTGCGATGCTGCGCTTGTGCTTTAGTTACACGGACCTGCTGGCTTCTTTACTCCTCTGGGCCTTTGCACGCGCTGTTCTTATCCTTAGTCAGTCCCACCTGTCTCCAGAGGACTTGGGGAGAGGGTCTGGGGTACAGTGAAGTGTGCAGGCTCTGGGACTAGATGGACGTGGCTGAAATCTCACCGCTATAGCTGTGTGATCTTGGGTAAATTACTCCAAAACGCTACATCGTAGTCCCCTCACTGGAAAATGGATTAAACGAGATACTGTAAATAAAATTCTTAACACATGGTAGGTGTAGTATTCCTTCTTCAGGGACACACCATGAGCTTATCCAGGGAAGGGGCTTACTACCACCAGGCACCTGGTAAGCTAAACCCTCTGCCGGCACGCACAAACCCTCAGCCTGGGCCAAGTCCTCTGTGCTCAGCAGGACATGGCTCTAGGGACCAAAGCCAAGTGGGTATGGGGACATGGAGGGTGTCATGCCCAGGAGGGTGGCTGAGTTGCACTAGAGGTAGACAGCAAGTGAGAGGATTCCTTACAGGTCCCTTGAGGACACCACTCTCCTGTACCCCCACACCCGGTTACCAAGTCCTGTATGTGTACCACTTCCAATCTCTTAAGTTTACCCTTCTCCCACTTTACCAGGCGGTAGCCCTCCAGCTGCCCATCCAGCTGTCTAGGTGGGCTCAACCTTCTGCCCAAGTGATCTTTTCAAAATGCAAACTGACTATGTCCTGGTCTTGCTTACAGTCCTTTCTGGATAAGCCCTTTCTTTGCTGGGGCCTATATGGCCCTACAAAGCCTGGCCCCACTCACTTCAGGGCTGGCAGACGTAAGCTCTCCCAACTTGGAAAAGATCCTCCCCTTCACCTGGATTCCTCAAACAGCACTTCTCCCCACAGGGTCAGACCTCCTTCCCTGCCTCACGAGCCTCGCCTTTGCAGCCTGGTCACAGCGGCAGTTTTACACCTGTCCAGCTGTAGGGCTATTTCCTGTGTTTCTGTTCATCACAGAGCCCACTGCCCCGCACAGAAGAAACAAGCCCCTCAACAAGCAGGCAATATCCAGAGAGATGAGGTCACTTACCTGTCACAACTGATTAAAAAATGAGGTTTCTTACAGTCCGCGCCAGTTCTTTCCGTTAACTGCCCTGATTCCCTTGCCCTGTCCCTTGTGTCCTCAATGGAGGATTCAAAACTAACTCTGGGTTCCTTCTTGGCTGCCGAGGTCAGTGACTCGTTCCTACTATCGGAACTCAGCCGGAGGCCTTCTGCTGTTTGATATCACCAACAGAACGTCCTTTGAGAGCATCACCCGGTGGCATCAGGAGGCTCTGGAGAAAGTGAAACCCTTCAACATCCTCTTCCTGGTGGTAGGTCACAAGAGTGACCTGGAGGCTGAGCGACAGGTGACGCCAGAGGAAGGCGAGAAGCTGGCTGCCTCTCTGGGTGCTCGCTATGTCGAGACCTCGGCCAAAAGCAACAGCAACATCAGCACAGCCGTTGAGCTGCTCATTCAAGAGCTCTATGAGGCTGTGAAGAGGGGGGTCATGGGGCCACACTCAGAGTGGGAGGGAGTGAAAAGCAGAGTCCATCTCATGCCAAGATTCAAGCAGAGGAGCAAAGCAGGACAAGGTGGCTGTGCCTGTGCTGGCGACCCCCGGCTGAACAGCCACATCCCCTGAAGCCCACAAACTGTTCATGATCCGCGGGCCATGCTGGACACAGGACAGGATGATGCTAGGTGCCACTGAAGGTCACGACCCTGCGGTCAGGAGGCCAGCTTCCTCTGCACCACGGTGAAAACACCCGGACCAGGGGCGGCAAAAACTAAGGACAGGCAACTGCACAGACAGGCCTTTGCCCAGCCACTGCCATCCTTTCTTAGGGTCAAGGATGAAACAACCTTCTCCAAGAGTTCCAGAACAGGTCAAAAGAGGTTTTGCCAAAACCAGGATCCCTCTTCAGCATGCGGGAAGGTTACCCTGCCCAATCTTTATGGCAGAGAAACTGGACTCAAACGCCCATTGATGGAGTGGCCTTCCTCGGAGTAAAATAATGGAAAGTCCCTAGGTTTCTTCCTCAGTCACAGAACTAACCACAGTGCTGCCACCTACTGACTACAGAGCTACCTCCCAGCTTGCTTGTCCTAACTCCCTGTGGCATTTCAAAGGCTGTAAACTATGCACCCTCTAACTTTCGATTAATAACTTCTTTATTCTGGAAAAGCAAATGAAAGTCATATTCATATAAACACTGACATTACAAAGTACAGGAAAGAGGGAAAGGGAGAAGGAAACAGAAAACTCTACAAATCCTGCTAATACTGTCTCACCAAACAAGACCATAATGCTTTGTCCCGTATTCAATCACTTATATAATAAACCAGAAATAAAATCTTCTCTGGAAGATGCACTGCTCCTCTTTGAGACGGCGGGAAAAGGGACCGGAAGTTAGGGTAGGAGGCTTTATTCTTTTGGCAGATCCTTTCAGTCATTATATTGCTGCACTGTTAATAAAAAATATATGCTTCTCTGTGAGCATTAAAAAAAAAAATTCCAAGGATGAGATGGCTGAGGCTTCAGCTCAAGTATCTCCAAATACATTGTTGTCCATTCCCTGACCTTTCCATGTGTTATTTCTTGGTTGTTTTCCGGATCAATGCCATTCTCTGAAAGGAGAGAGGAATAAACGATTACACAAATCAGGGTCAGGAGCCTTCTGGAACATCAATGTGTGGCTAACAGGCGCATGGTCTACACCCGAGGTGGTGTTCTCAGGAATCTGCAGGACAGAACAGCAGGCTCCTTTGAAACTGCCGACAGTCTGCTGGCCAGAGATGCCTGTGCAGACCAGTGGATCCAAGCTGTTGACCAGAGGAGCCAAACTGCTTCAGGCTAGCAGGACGGCAAGAAAGTTAAAAGCAGAAGGTAATACTTCTTGTATTTTGGAGACACAGGGTACAGGCCTTCAAAGTGTGTTTTCTAGACTCCCGCTTTCCCAATCTCTTTCTCTAAGGATGAAGAGGGGCCTCTGTTTCATAGCTGATGGCCCTCCCTGGTGGCATGATGGGTTAAAGCGCAGAATCTGTTCACAGCCACTGCAGCACAAGTTTGATCCCCGGCCAGGGAACTGACCCACATGGCACAGCAGACATCTCCAGACCTGCCCACTGCTCCCCTCAGCAGTGTATTTCCGTACTTCTGCCTGTTCTGCTCCCCACTCTGTTTCAACCCCGGCGCCTCTGGCCTGTACTCAAGTTATTCAATGTGTGTGGGTAAAAAAATCTTAAAAAATAAAGAAATAAAGAAAAGCAGCTGACATTACACACTTGATGATCTACAATAAAGGAAAATTGATATAACTTCCACCACAATCAGGGAAAACATTCAGATCACATTTTACTATCACCAGACAAATTACTGATTTGTTTTGTTCACTCTTGTTGACCAAGAGATTATCCCAGTATTATTGCCATTTATGGGCAATCTAATCAGCTGCTACGAGGGGAGGTGGTATTAGAGATGTGCAGGGGTGAGATGCATCCACATTAGAGCTTAAAATCACCAGCTTTAAATGGTGCTCATCAAAGTTGAAAGAAAAAAACCCCAGACGTTGTGTGTGAACAGGGAAGCACCAAGGACTATCTGATTGCTTTCTTGGAGCCAGGCCGCTCTGACCTTTGACCAGGAAGTGACGCTCCCAGTCTGAGAAGTGGCAGCCACAGCGAGGTGATGTGCACACTCCCTCTGAGCTCCAGAGAGCAGTGCGGCTGCCAGGCCTCTACTGGCTCCTCACCTGTTTGTGAGCTTCTGTGGTGCAAGCTTTCTTGTAGGGTCGGATTTCTTCAGAGCCAAATCCTGGAATCCACATGTTCCACTGGCGCTCTACAAGGAAGGGACAGCAGAGGTAAGGGCAGAGGCAGGTGTGCAGTGTGACCAACAGGCAACCTTCAGGGAGGGCTAACTGCAGCAGTCCACTGTACTTATGATAGTCAGCCTGCAGCAGCTCGTGCCCACCTGTGTCTATGTCTCTTTTCCTAATAATCTTGTCCTTTTAAGATGTAAAGAAAACAACAAAACAAAACAAAACAAAGCCAGTTAGCCTACAGAGGGGTTCTCTGGAACACAAAAGGGAAGACTGAATGTGGCACCTTCAAGGTTTAAAAGACACATTTCACCTTGCATAGAAAGAGGGGCAGATTATTCAAAGCTGTGAGAGCTGAACACAAGGTTTCCATGTGATTTCATGGAAAAGTAATTTCTTTAGTTCTCCTCTTATGCTCAAGGTAATTCCTCTCAAACCCAAAGGAAGAGAAAGAACAAAACGACATTCCTAGCTTCATCTGGGAGGGAAGAGCAGAGCCCTCGCTTGTGGCCTCACTGTGCAGCTTCTTCATCTTTTTTTTTAAAGATTTGTTTTATTTATGCATACAACAACTGGGGTACAGGCCAGAGATGCAGGCAGAGGGTGAGAGGATTCACCAGACAGAGTGGGGAGCAGAACAAGCAGACCGACTGAAACACCCTAATGAGGAGCAGCAGGTGAGATAAGAGAGGTCTGCTGCGCCATGTGGGTCAGCTCCTTGGGTGCATAGGGGCTGCGGGTAGCTTCACTGTGCTGAGACTTAACCTCTTGAGTCACCAAGGAGGCCCCAGTTTCTTCATCTTTGACCTGGTGGTAACCACAGCAATAAGCACCTCGAAGGTGGTTAAGAGCCTTTAATGACATGATGCAATTTCAGAGCTGGAGACTGATGCACAGAGGAAGCACACAGAAATAGGTATATGCAACCAGAGCTCCATGCCCTCTACACTACTGGGCACGCTTGTCCCTGTCAAATCATCACAAGTTGCCAGGGGGCAGGGATTGTGTTTATTCCGCTTTGGCAGTAACAGGCATAAGTAGCTACTTGGTGCCCCTACCCCATGAACAATGTGAAGCCCACTTATGAGAGATTAAGGAAGTAAGTCTTTACTCAAAAGAGTTACATGGGAACTCTTTGATCATACTCCCCTAAAGCACTGACAACATTTGTAGATTTGTTTTACTCCAGATAGGCATAACCTTAAATCATATTGAGCACAGTCCTATTTTATGTCTAATGTACAGTAAATATTCAGTGAATGAATGATTCCAGTTTGGATCTAGAATACTTTTATATATAGCTCTCATCCAGTATTTCTTTGAAAATAAAAATGTCTGAAGACTTCTACTAACATTGTGACACTAAGATTAATCTCCACAAATTAAATTTTATAATGAACATGAAGGGGGTCGGAACATATATCTAAAGTCATTTTAAAGAAAAGTTGCTGCCAGACACAAACATAGATATTTAAGTGCATACAGCAATATATTTAAATGTGTTTATGAAACATCAATATAATAATAACAACAATCTTTTAGGGAATAAGATGGATAGTTAAACTGCCTAGTGCAAAGTAGCTTTATACGGAATTTTTGCTAAAGGCCTCCCTGGTGGCGCAAAGATTAAAGTCTCAGTGCTATCAAGCTACTACCAGCCACTGTGGCATGAATTTGATCATGTCACTTGTTGGATTCCTCAGCAGTGTATTTCAGCAGATAGGCCTATTCTGTTCCCCACTCTATCTCTGGTGAATCCTTTCACCCCTCCCCACCCCATACCTCTGGCCTGTACCCAGTTCTTGTATGCATAAATAAATAAATCTTTACAAAAAAAAAAAAAAAGAACAGAATTCAGAACAAGTGGTGCTGCATGACTACAGACACTGGGTTAGAAAGTCCATGTAATTCCCTCCATGAGGGAAGGAATTGAGATACTTCTGGAGCCTTCAGCTATCCTTGGACTACAGTATAGTGCCATTATGTAAACAGAACACAGAGAGACTGGAGGAGTCCGGCTTTTTGGGAGACATGGACACAATGAAACTATGGTTTGTGTTGAACTGGATCAAACCCCCAGTATCTCGGCATGTACCAAAGATAGGGTCATTGCCGATGTAACTAGCTAAGGTCATATAGGAGCAGGGTGCGCCCTTAGTCCAATATGACCGGCATCCTATGAGAAATGGAACAAAGACATACACAGGGAGAGGCCTTGCTAAGGTTGCTAAGCTTCACCAAATTCTGAAAACCACTGCATGATTCCCACAGGTTGAAATATCACACTTTTGCCCTATGTGCTCTTTGTTTCCCCTAAACAATAGGGTATTCACTTTCCAGTAAGATAGTCTACATGGGCCCTCCCTGGTGGTGCAGTGGGTTAGAGCACAGCACTAAGAAGCCAAGGTCACTTCAGCATGAGTTCGATCCCTCCCTGGAGGGGACCATGTGGCACAGCAGGCCTCTCCTGACCTGTCTGCTGCTCCCTTCAGCAGGGTACTTCATCCATCTGCCTGTTCTGCTCCCCACTCTCTCTGGTGAAGCCTCTCACTGCCCCTGCACCTCTGGCCTGTACCCCAGTTCTGTATGCATAAATAAAAAATAAACTTAAGAAAAAAAAGATAGTCTACATTACTTTTCTCAACTGGACATCGATTGGACCACTGCAGTTGCAAGCCAGAGAATGCCAAGGATAGCTGGCCACTCCCTGAACAAAGAATTAGAGGTAAGAAGGACTTCACCAGAAGCTTGGAGGGAGCACTGCCTAGCCAGCATGTTGATCTCAAACTTTTGGCTTCCAGAAATATGAAGACAAATA